TTTTAATTTGAGGATTTGATGATGGTAAAAAAAAAGGCATATGCTGAAAGCACATTTTGTTTTCACTAGTAGATACTGTTGCATTATGGAAACTGAGTTACATATCTGTATTTCTCTCTAAAACATACAACTTTTTATTTTAATTTTTAATTGGATGGAAATAAATATAGAAACTAAAATGCAAAAATATTTTAAGAGGCATTGTTGTTATTTAAGGTTATTGTTTGTGTGTTCTAGTGATAAGTATGCAAGGGTTAAGCAAAATTCAATATTCTTTACTGCAAGCAATAAACCTGTTTTATTACTTTAACCAAGACTAAGATTTTACAACCTTACAAAGAAATTTGTAAAGAGTAATTATAATATACATCGCATTTAGAATTAATGAACGAAATAAACTGTTCTTTACAAAATTATTTCTGATACATGTTTTATCATTGTTGACAAGAGCATTTCCAGTTGTTGTTTTTTCTTCCTTAAGCATTTACAAAGTAACAACACAGTGTGTGACTACTGAGTTAGAGGAAGAAAAACAAGATAGAGAAGTAGAACCCATTTATCATTCAGAATTTATACCATGTCCAAAATATTGGGAACTTGTGACAAATCTATTGACTATACCAGTAGTTTCTAGGTGTAACTGAATTTAAAAATTGTTTTGGAGCAATTGTTTTTCTAATGCAAGATAAATATTTTTGTTTGTACTTTTCAAGAATAGAAACTTGTATTAGTATTTGTTTCATTTTATGGAAAGCTAATCAAGGGCTATTTGTGCTAGCCATCTGTAATTTAAAAGATAGACTAGAGGGAAGGTAGCTTAGTCAACACCCACTGCCAGCTCTTGGACTCCTCTTCAGCAAATAGTGGGATTGATTGTCACATTTAATGCCCTCATGGCTGAAAGGGTAATGTGTTTCAACCCCACAACCTGCAGATTACTAGTTGAGTGCTCTGACCATAGGCCGTTATATAGTGAAGCCCACAATCAGTTAAATTTATCTCAATATTTTAATAATGCTGTATCATCAAATAGTGAATTGTTGTTTTATTGCAGATGTTTAATTGGCTGTCAGAAAAGCTTCCTGAAGTAAAATCTGTTCCCAAAGAAGAACTAAATGTATGTGTTCCATCACTGTTTACTTGCTTGGAAGATCGAAATGCTGATGTTCGGAAAAAAGCACAGGACTGTGTTTTACCATTTATGATACACTTAGGCTTTGACTCCATGGCCCGTGCAGCTGGAAAGTTAAAGGTACATCTGATAGTAGGTCAAAGAAACAGTTCTACTGTATTGTTTTATATTATACCAAAATGAAAACACTGTTGGTTTTGATGCATTGTGTTGTACTTTTTAATACTGAATTTCAAAATAAACTTAAATAATATCAGTTATGACTTTGATTTCGATGGTGGTAGCTGTGTAAATACATGTAACTAATGAATTTGAAAACTTTTCTGTGAAAAAATGGTGATTATGCAGTCCAAGTACTTAATATAATTTATTTTATAAATATGAAATATGTGCATCTATATATTTATTGTTTGTTTCTACTTTCTCTGTAGCCTGGCTCTAAGACAACTGTTATGGGGCTTTTAGAAAAAGCTCGCCCCAATCTTCCAGCTAAAGCACCACCCAAACCAAAATCAGCTCCTGCTAGAAATGGTAACACTATAGCAGCTCCTCAAGGAAACCGATCACCTCCATCTCCTGGAATATCTACAGACAATTTAAATACAGAAGAAAATACCTCTGGAGTAGCTGCACCCAAGGGAAAATTGAATCGCAGTACATCAAAATCAAAGGTAGTTTAACTTAAATATTTTCTTATCAATGTATTATCATACTGAGAAAAAGGGTGCAGTGGCAGTACAGTTTATTAGTAGCATGTAGGAGTTTTATTGTCACTAACAATTCTTTAACTGATTGAACTTTGATATGCTCTTTAAACTAATATTAATTTCATGAGAAATGTTGCACCATACTTTTAAATTATCTTATACACAAAGTCAAATGGAAGATTTTATTCATATTAACACTAATGAGAATACCACCAAGTTTTCCAATCTAGTATCTTTTAAATAAAATATTGTCTTATGTGAAGATATAAAATGTTTTTGCTGAATAGGGGATCGATTTTTAAGGAAACTTCAAGGTTGTCCGGAAGGCTGTATTGATTGTCTGGAGAAAAAAAATACAGAGACCCTCAAAAAAGATCCAATTACGACAATATTGGTGTACAAAGACCCTGAAAAAGACCCAGTTACAAGAATTTTGATGTTTTTATATCTTATTTATTTCCAAAAAGTACAATTAATGTTTAGTTGGCAATTTTGCATCTTTATTCAACTAATTTTTGATACCTTATTTCCTGGGAAATTTTGTTACATTGGAGAAAATATGCACAAACCATGCTAATGTCACATAGTATGTTAAGGAAACAAACTGTCAATGACCTGTAAAACATTTAAACAGAATGATCTTGGCCAATCACGCTTAATGTTTTCATTCTAACCAACTTGGCCTGCCTGCTAAATACAGTAAAATACAGGCTGTAGTAAGACTAGACTTGCATCAGATCTCTCATACATACTGCTATACCATAATATGTACTCAGTGCCTGAATGCCACACATGTGTGTGTATATATCTGTACTAGAAATTAGTCTTGCTAAATATTCGTGTTATCGGGGTTCGTTTTTGTTGCAAATTACCACCCACCCTTATATATGCATACAAACACTGCACAATACAGTGTGTGATAATGTAACTAACTGAGCTATATATGCTGTACTGTGGTACTACTCATAACCATGCATAAAGCATCACAGAGGCTCAACTTGTCAATGATTGAAAGTTTAGTGATTAAAACAGCATTATTAGCCAATCACAAAAGTGAACTTTTCCTTATGTTTTTCATCCCCTTTTGGTGGATTGTACCAACATTTATCTTGTAAAAAAGTTTTTTGTGTTGTCCTACGGACAACTAGCACTATGGAACAAAACCTTACTCTAAACAGCATCACAGTCTACTGTACATTTATTCATGCCCACACTACACATGTAATGCTCTAATCCTTGATCAAAATCATCAGTAAATTCCCTAACTATGCACTTGAAAATTTGAATCCCCCACAAAAATATCTTTTTGTCGATATTTTTTGTTTAACGGGGCTTTAAGTTGGTTGTCCAAGGAAGTTTCTAGTCATCTCGGACAACTATTAGAATCGAGCCCTGCTGAAGGTAAGATAATGCCGAGCAGATGAATTGAATGCTCATTATATTGATTATTTATTTGCCATTTATAGTGTCATGTAACTAACTTTTTTTGTCAGCAGTTTCCCCTGAACTTGTTCTTTAGTCAGGTTACATCCGTAAAAAAATGTTTGTTAATATTATGGTAAGTAAAACTTGAAGACATTTTAATATCAATTTAAATTCAAAATTTTTCTACTGTTATATTTTTAAAACATCTGTATTTTTTAAAGCATTTACAGCTGTATCATGAATAATTTTTGTCTGAAAAAAGGTGTACATTGTGCAGCTGCAACTTTGAATAAAGGACAGGCCATATTAACGTTTTAAATATTTGAGGAAGTGGACAACATATTTGTAATATTTTGTGTGCCTGTATGATAAAATGTCTTAAACTTTGATAGCTTGCAGGTAAAGCAGCAGCAACTAGTAAAAGTAGTAAAAAGGAGGAAGAAGTAGACACTTCTCCTGGTTTTGTGGCAAATAACATGAAAGATCAGCGACTTAATGATGAAAAGGCTTTGAAGGTAGGTTATTTGATGTATTTGACAGTTGGAATGCAAACATTAATTGAATTAACAGCCTCAGAAAGGGGTAGTTTAAAGTAACTTATTGTTTTAGATTGTTGTAACACTTTTTAACTCTCTTTGATTTGGGAAAATTTACTTTTTTGTGCATGTAATTTTTTAAAGTACTATGTACTAGCACCATCATTACAAAAAAGTAGGTTTAAGTTTTATCAGTAAACCAACAGTAAAAAAAGTGAGACCAAATGTACTAAATTTCATATTTTCATATGCAAATTTTTTTTAATCTGTTGGCATAAGTATAAAAGTAATTAAAATGTAAAATTTAAAAACTTGTACAATTAGAGAAAAAATATAAAGTTATTCTGAAAAAAAAAAAAGATTTATTTAGGAGGTGTTAAGAGGTTATGCATATGTAATTTGAAAATTTTATGATAAAGAAAAGTATTTTTAACCTTAACATGAAAACCACTTGCACTCGGACTAGTCAACAGTTTGACCATATATTCAAATTTTGTGAAAATATACATACCACATTAAGTTATAGTATGGATACTTCCATGGTTACCTGGAGGATACAAGGTCAAAATGACCTAACCCAAATCAAAGAGATTTAAAAAGTGTTACAACAATCTAAAACAATAAGTTACTTTAAACTACTCCTTTCTGAGGCCGTCAATTCAATTAATGTTTGTATTCCAACTGTCAAATACAACAAATAACCTACCTTCAAAGCCTTTTCATGGTTACCTGGAGGATACAAGGTCAAAATGACCAAGTTTTAACTATTATAATTTAACCAGCTTTCTAACTATGGCATAGATGTTTAAAATAATTTCCTTAGCTATTGATCTGAACTTGCTGATACCATCTCTACTGTAGCATTATGTCATTTGGTAGATTAAAACTTTGTCTTTTTGTTTGTTGTAAAAGATATAATAGCAAATGCAGAAGAGAATTACTGGCACTTTGTGAAAGAGAGAATGTGATAGGTGGGTGTGGCAAGTGGGTCTAACTTTCTAGTTTATATCTCCATAAACAATGAAGACTGAAGATTATAAAAGTTAATCTATGCTTTAGAAATATCTATTTTCCCGAGTAATTTGTATTAAACTCAAGACATTAGAGGGGTGATTTAAGAATAGAGAATGGGCAAGACAGAGTGAATAAATGGTCACAATATGTATATACACACACACACACACACATATACATACATACAAGGGAAGATTGGGAATTAAATTAAATGCCTATTTTTTTAAATTAAGAAATTAAAACTTATAATAAAATTTGATTTATTAAATCCATTTTGATGCAAAGTTTTTCACATACATTTATAATAGTTTTTTTTGTTTAGTATTGAATGTTACAGTAAAATGTGATGTGCAGTTTGACCTTCCCATAGCAAAAGGGTTTGCTTAAAAAACTTAAAATCTTTGTCTTAGTTCATTTGTGTGTACAGGTTACTCAGGATTGTTTTCAGAAGTCCTTTTTTTCCTACGAAGACAAAATTCTCAAACTATATATTGCTCATTTTTGAGATTGAGAGTTCAATTCATCGTTTTAATTTTTTTTAGTGGTAAGTTAGTATTTCAGGATAGACAGTAACATTCTGTTTTGATTGTGATATGGCTTCGGTCTTAGTCACATCTATATAAATAATACTCTTGCATATTTCTGTCTGAAACTTTTCTTGCAAATTTCTCAATCAAACACTACAAGTCTCACATCCTCAGAAAGGCCTTTGTCTGGAGAGCACGGATTTCATGTTGGTTTTTCAATTCAGAATCAGCTTACTTGGTTTTTGCTTAGTCAAACCTTTCAATGCAACAAGTACGGTACACGATCACACAATGCTGTTGTCATCACATGATGATTGGCTTCGATTACAACAATTTTTGTTTTATTTGCAAATTATTTCTCACAAACAATTAACCTGCATGTAATTTCCTTTAAAAAAACGAATGTTACACTAAATATAATTTCTGCAGGCTTTCTTGACTTATTTAGGTTTAACATACGCATGCGCATTTCCTTCAAAACCATTGCCTATCACTTTGTGAACATGCATTGAGACGTGTCTGCATGATCAACTAAGTTTGCTTTCATTACAACTTTACATTTACTATACTTTACAATAACTTAGCTTCGGTTCATTTCGTAGACTGCTATAAATACCTTCTACCTACTTTTTTCTTTAGTACAGGTTTTATTCTTCTTTTTTCTGTGTTTCTTTGTTTTATCTTGTAAAACTGTCATACACCGAATGCTTATAACAGCTTCCTACCCTGTACACTATTATAAATATGATTACATTATTGTTTACTTTACATGTAGTTTTTTTAAATAAAGTTATGTCTATGTGAGTTTGTTTGTTTGAATGAGTAAAATTTTTCCAATAGACTAGGATTTAATGATCTAACACATAATGCCTGCAAGAAAGCATAGCTTAAATAGCATGCATAAAAATGAAAGAATAAGGAAAATTCAAGTGAAGAGCATGATAACTACCACAAATGTTTTGCAGGTTGTGGCTAGTAAAAAAAATAAACAGCTATTTGTGTTAGCTATTGATACCATGATTGAGGTAAATTTAATATATTTTTATTAATGCAAAATATAATTTGGTTATTAATGTTTAATTTCATCAGGGATTAGCTATTTGTGTTAAAGTTTTAATGTTTTAACTTTATTTAAGAACAAACTATCACAAAGATTTTTATTTAAAGCACAAATTAAGTATCCACATGGCTTTAACAATAATTCTTTTTTAGAATTTAACAAATGACCTGGAGAAATTAGTATTATTCATACTGACAAATGGATACTAAGGTAGCAATGCTACTAAAAACACTTAAGAACACCTGTATATTTTTAAATAAAATATATGCTTATTGTTTGCATATTTAAAGGTAAATAATTTTTTTTTTCTAATTTGGTATCTTCAATTACCATTTTATTAAAGATTTATTAATATTAGTTTTATATCTTTACTTGGGTATTCAGCTCCTATCATTTTTAAAACAATTATATTTTGCAAATTTCATAATCATGGTTAGCTGGAGTTAGCAGCTTTCTTCCTATAGCATTTGAAATGCTGTGGGTTATGTTTCTATTAAATTTATATACTACAGGCTAAATATGAAGGGTTTTGGCAAAGAAGAGCAGTTTAAATGACCTTATTGTAACACTGATTATTAAATTTAAAAAAGTAGAGAAACTTATTTCAATTAAATGTTTACTTAAGAACAGCAGAACAGTGAGAAAAATTATTTATTTTTATTTCTGCAATAATTATATTTATTTGACATATTAATATAACTAAATATTTAAATATCACTGTACACTATGAGTTATTTTGATTATTTAGTTGAATAAATCTAGCCATGGTTAAATGTTTTTCGAAGAAAAAAATTAGATTTGAAACGGGCAGTTAACTTCCATGTATAAATACAGAGTTTATGTTTGCATTGTATAGGTTCTAAAATGGAATTTCACTTCCCCGAGGGAAGAATTCTACCAGCAGTTGAAAGATCAGATGATAACAGCCAACTGGGGTAGGACCCTAGTAACCAATTGTTTTCACAGTGACTTCAAATTCCATATTAAAGCTATTGATACCATGATTGAGGTAAATTTAATATATTTTTTTAATGCAAAATATATTTTGGTTATTAATGTTTAATTTCATCAGGGAAAAAATTTATATTTAGAAATTATTTTGACTTGCATTTTTTTGTAGGTATCTGCAAATTTGTTTCTGTATTTTTTGGTTAACTTTAAGTCAGTTGTATTTTCCTTAATGTGCAAACAATTTTTAATTACTAAATTAAAATCTTAGTAGCATTGTTAATCACATTTTTATTAGTTGGGAAACTTTGTTAGTGCTAATTCTCCTTATTCATGGACTTTGATTTTTCCTGTATTTTACTCTCATGTATTACTAGCCTCTAATTCTTCAGAGTAGTACTACTTATTACAAGATTATGCTATGTTGTCCTTTTTTCTTTTCTTTTTTTTTTCATGATTATTTCAGTTTATGCAACCCCATATGTTGGCCTAAATGGTGAGATTGAGTTTTTCAAATTAGGCATATGATGATTTGTTTTTCTCTCCCTCTACAACTTACTATCATCTAGGCATTATTATTGTTTCCTCTTCAATCTCTACCACTTTTTTAATTTTTGACAGGGATAGTATTTGGTAGGTAGTATTAGTTGATTGAATTTTTTTTCCAACCTGGTTTTCTAGGCTTGGAATTCTGTTGACTTTCTGACATTTCAGGTATTCATCATAGTTTTGTAAAGCTTTATTGTAAGGGTGTTTTAGTGCTTGTTTTTCATTTTCATGAGGATTACTATCTCTTCAATTCATCCTGGTATGTCTGGGGTATGCAGGCATATCATGTGTTTCCCAACAGTTTAGCTAATATATAATTTTATAGAATTTCTTTACATATTGTGCATATGGTCTTAATATAGAACATCAGTTAAGGAAGCCATTAAGTTCATCTCTTCAGTTACTCATGAACTGGATCATTAGGCTAGGGTACGACATGTACTTTCTCAGTTGTATAGATATAGACAGTGATCTGTTCTACTCACAAGTCAGATGATGTTCCAATGCTATAACATTCTTTATTTTGAAATGATAATGATGGCCCATCATATAGGTAGGGCTCATGCCCTGAGAAGAATGGTGTTTTTATTTTCAGTATAAAATAGCATGTTTTCTCAATCTGGAACAGAATGAGTGTTGTTACAGAATATATGACATTATTATTTAGATTTTAATACACTTAGAGTTCTCCAGTAAAAGAGCCACACATGAACTTGTTTTGAACTTAGTTTGTTTTTGGTGTTGATGGAAAGGTTGTTTTACTGTGTTGTACTTTTTTTTTGCTTAAAGCTCAATTGAGGTTAGGAAAATTCAGATTTTTGCTCTGCAGTCCATTTTCTGGTGAACTTCCCATTATCATTTGGTTCCTACACAATTATTCAAGGGAGATCAGTGATTCTAAGAATTCCACGTGTCTGTTTCTATCTGGGTCTTTTGTTGTTATACAAATAGTAGATATTCCATTTTTCAGGTTCATATTTTTCTTTCTGGACTGTTTGTCTTTGACAGTTTCTGTAAATTGATTGTTTCCTTGGTTAGAATGTTGTATTTATTTGAGCTTTGATCATTCTGATTGGACTTCTTGTTTCATATATACATGAAATGAGAACTTATGTACAAAGCACATCTTCACAAGCAAGAGAGCTCTGGACAGTGGATGAAAGAGTTCTGAGCAAGAAAATTAAAACATTTCAGCGGGTCCGTTTTCTACAGTTGCCATTAATGATATTAAAGCTTGTTATTAATTAATAATGTTCTTTTTATGAGTTTTTTAATTACACTTTCTCTGCATTCTCATGTAGCCTTTTTGTGAATAAACTTCAGAAAGGAGTACAGATTTTTTTTTATACAACTGTGAAATGGATGTGATAATTAAGGCAAAGTTAAATATAAAAGTATGAAATCTTATTAAACAACAATAGATTAATAAAAATACCAGATTGTTGATAACATTACAGAATACTGAAAGATTGGTTTGATTTAGGAATAAGTGTATACTTATGGAAATGCTAAAATATTTTTTTCTCTCTTCATTTCAAGAATAAAGTGCTAAGAAAGATGGTCTGAATGTTTACCTTTTATTAAAGCCACTAATCTTAATAAAACCTTGTAATATGCAGACACAAATGCATTAACCTTGTAAAAGTGGTGTTAGTGCATGGGACTGAGCCAATGTTTGTAAAACTATGTATGCTATGACTGAATTTACTAAATGTATATTCACCAATTTTGGCAAGCTTTTAGTAAATACTAAAAGTGTGTTGTGTTGGAAACAAAAAATCAGATATTTTAATAAATAATTTTTTACTGAAAATTTGTCTGTAAAGTTCTGAAGCCTTTACTGAGTCAGTCTGAGTGGAAGGTGATTTTCAGGGTCAGAATAAAAATACTTTCTATCTTAGTTTCCATATATCATTGGCATACCTTCAGAATATCAAATGTTTTTGTAAAAATATTTTATTTTATATTTTTTTCTCTACCTTAACACTAACAGCACACTTCATTTGTAGGTATGCAGAGGAATCTTCAGTGTACAGTTGTAAAATAGGAAATATGATTATTAATACTGTTCTTTCATTGGAACTGACTGCTGTATTGATCAAAAAACTCTAAACTACTTATCTCAACAGTTTCAACTTTCAGAACTGTTTCATTTGTGGTTTTATTGCAGTATTTTTTACCCACTGGAGGAGTAATTCTTGCATCCACAAAGCAATGAATTACAACAGGAATGATGTTTCCAACAGTCCGCATTATTGGGTGTCCAAAAAAAGAATTTGTGTAGTTTTCAAATATGCATCTCAGAACACAAAGTATATCATTCACAAGAATAGTATTTTCCAAAACTACTATAACTTATTCAGCTTTTTAAGTAAGCTATAAATATGGTTAAACATTCTGTGTTTGGATTAGTGCAATAATGAACATGGAAAGAGAAACATCTAATAACAGTAACCTATGTGGGAAAATTGAACAGCGAGAGACTGATAAATATAGAGGAGAATGTGTTCTTTCTTTTGGTTATAAGCATGTCAATCAGCCATATAAAGTTGATTATCAAAACAATTTCAAAAATCAGAGAGAGGGAAGGGACTTCTTTAATGGGTTTGATAAATTTATTAATGTCAGCTAATCCAGAAGGTAGGAAGTATCCATTTCAGATTCTTGTTTGTAATTACATATAATTTGTGTTTCTAACTGGTTGCAAACTGCAGTAGCATATTTTAGAAGTTAGAACATTCTGAAGTGGAGATATTGGAGCTCAGACATGTTGTGTGACAAAAAAAAACGATAATTTTTTGTAATGCTTCATTTTGAAGTTAAGAAGTTAAAACTTGAATTATACATTCCATTTTCATGCCAAATATTGATACTAAACTTGTTCATTAAAATTTTGATTGTAACATTTGTTTATTTGTATAGATTGTTTATACACAGTATTTCAGTTTTGCCCATGGATGAAGGTGACTGTTGACCTTTGAACTGCTTGAGTTGCAAGTTTTAATGACTTGTGGCTTTAGTTCAAGTTTTGTGAAAAGTGTATCCTCTTGTTTAACAATACTTAGCAAATCATGAATATGTTATTTTTATATTTTCAGTGTCTTGCAGCAAATAGTGATGCCACTGTGGCCAACTTGGATCTTATTTTGAAGTGGCTAGCACTGAGGTTTTTCGACACAAACCCAAGTGTTTTGATCAAAGGGTTAGAATACCTTCAACAGCTGTTTAGTATTTTGATTGCAAGAGGATATCGACTTCTTGAATCAGAGGCAGCATCATTTATCCCATATCTCTTGTTGAAGGTAGGAAATGACCAAACAGTTTTACATTTTGTTTCAGGAAACTTGCTGTTATTATTGGAAAATAAGCTTAAACTTTTGAGATATCAAAAATTAATTTTTGTTATTGTATTGTATTATTTATATGATATAGTATAATTGTTTAATGCAATACTTAGATTTTTATTGTGTGGTCTATTAAAATGCAATGAGAACATTTTTATCTTTGAACTACTTTTTCCCTCTAATGATTGATACCAAACATACAGAAGTTATAAAATTTAATATTCCAATTTTGCAGGTATGTGTATTTATAACAACTAACACAAATTACTTGTTTTATGTAGGTTGGAGATCCCAAAGACACAGTCAGGAAGGGAGTTCGTGATATTCTAAAACTTATATGTCAAGTGTATCCATCCAGTAAAATGTTTAATTATGTTATGCAAGCACTTCCTTCAAAAAATTCCAGACAAAGAGCAGGTACTTAGGTCAATTTAATACAATTTAGTAATTTTCTCTGTAATTTCTTTTTGATCTTCTTTGCTGTGGCTAATCATTTTATGACATTTCTTGGTATAGAAATTTTATAGTTTTGTGATTTATTTAAAATTTTATTCTGTAACTTCAAACAGAACCAATAAATTTAGCTGAAACACTTTTTTGTAATCATAATTTTACCTCTTTGAAAAGCAAATTGTAAAATTTATTTCTAGAATAAGATGCAAGTTAATGAATCTAAAAACTTTAATTGAGTTTGGCAGGAAGCTGTATTGTACAAAGATTTCACATAAATCAATTTATAACAAAATTGTAAATGATTGTGGCTCCATCTATACGTATATTAATTAAAGGTTACTTTTTCATTTAAAAATACCTATTTTACCCATTCTTTATGAACATAATTTACAACATTTATTTGTTTAAGTTTTAAAAATGTTGGTTGTTGTTTCTTGATTGTAAAATGTTAATATAGAATATTTATAAATATGATTTTCTGTTATACTGCAGGATTTATTTTTTCGATGTTGTAAACTGGTAATGCTAAGTTGAGCTACTGAACACTGTGTAGTTAACTATATAATCAATGTTGTACTGTAGAGTGTCTGGAAGAACTAGGAGCAATGATAGAAGTGTATGGAATACGGATCTGCCAACCCTCACCAGCAGCTGCCTTGAAAGAGGTTGCGCGACAGATAGCAGATCGAGACAACAGTGTGAGAAATGCTGCTCTAAACTGTGTAGTTCAGGCATACAACTTGGAGGGAGAAAAAGTCTTCAAGTATATTGGACAGGTATGAGTAATAATAAACATTCGATGCTATAGAAGCATTGACTTATCAAATATTTCTTTACTATGCTTTTATACTTTATTTTATTCAACAACTAAATTAGTTTTTGAATCTAAACTGTGAATTATAATTTTTTTATTGTTCTAGCATATTGGTTTTGTTATTATTTGTTTATTATCTTTTCTTTAAACATTCTTGTCTGCATATAAATAATTTCCATTTGGATAGCTTTCCTAACTCTCTATTAATCTACAATTACGGTCACCCTTGTACTGCGCAGGTCGTGAGATTTTACTTTGTTATGTTCAAAATTTAATTAAGTAATCTTGCTATCAATGTATACCAATGAAATTAGCATTAAAATTTCCATTATAATTCAAAGTTTTATATTATCCAAGTTTTAATTCCTTTATTTCAAAAGAAACCTTGAAGAAAAATTCTTAAACTTCAGTTAGTTACTTCACAAAGTTTTAATAATTGGCCTTTGCAAATTAAGAAGGACTTGAATACACTAAACCTTCCATATATATATATAAACATCTAGGTTAATTGCTCTGCATACACTATTCTCCTTTTAAGCTCCTTAGCAGACATTGTGAGAAAATAGAAATAAATTTCTTGGAACTCTTGACAGATGCCACATCCTCTCTCTACACACACAGTTTCAATTTTTCAGCCAATTATACTTAGTTGAGCTAGATGTTTGTAACCAATAGAAAGCCACATTTTAAAATACTATTTCCCTATAGTTATTTTAAAATTGGTGCAAAGAACTCCGTAGAGAACTTGTCAAATGCTCTTAGCATTGTTGCTACTTGTGACATCTCTAGTTCTTTAGTGTTATTTCTCACCTATAAATATGTTGGTCAGATAGACAATTAAACTTTATTTACGGTTCAGTTTATGTTTTAAAATACATATTAGAAAGGTTTAATAATTTTTTAAAATATAAGCCAAACTGATATGTATTATCAGGCTTAGGGTAGTAGGCAAATGTCCCAATGTTCTGACCAAGGGGCTAAAGTCTTGCTGTTGAGGACACCTGGAAAATGTCCATTGATGTAATAAGTAATAATGCTAAAGGCTAGGAAAGGAAAATAAAACATCAAAAATAAACTTTTTGTGACAAAGTAAAAACTCACAATTAAGAACACAAACTAAGAAGATTTTCAAGATAATTTGACGAAAAATTCAAGGGTATGTAAATTTTTTCTCTTTTGAAAATTTTAAACATCTCACTGCACAATACATTGATGATAATACTTGAAATATTCAGAGTCTGAGTGCAAATAACTATAAGACAAAAATAATAAATCTGTAATTAAAATACTTAATTAAAACAATCTCATTCTTTGTTTACAAAGTACTTCTAATCTTTAACAAAATCTTACCAATTGTTGTGAAGATGTATTAAGATAGTTGAACTGTGTATCATTCTCCATACAAGAAGCATGCCAAATGGGTTCAAACCATAACCATAGAGTTAACCCTCTCTCTACAGGTAGGTTAATTTCCCCTTGTATGAGAATCGTGATGTTTGTTTGCTACATTTTGTCCATCTAATTTTTGTAACACCATTTTCTGATGTACTGAGTTTAGCATAGATTACTCATTATGGTATGGATATTTCTAAGACAAAGCCTAATTTTTATGGTCTTTCAGTTTTCTTAGTTTATGGAGACATATACTAGAAAATCATATCCACTTTCTGTGCCCACCAGCTAGATCCTCCCTTTTACAAATTGCCAATAATTCTCTGAAGTTTTCTGTTAAATCATTTATAACCAATAGAAAGAGAAGGTTTTGATTTACTGATGGTGTACAATGCTGTGTTGTTCACAGTGCCGAGTTTTAGTTATTCGTTCTACAGAATGAAGGCTGCTATCATCCAGTTCAAATCAAGTTGCTAAGGCACTATGCCTTAGTTGGAAAGCAAGTTAAATTCTAAGAGCTACAAGACATTGTTTGCTCTGTGAATGTTATTATTCTGTGTCCTTATGTGCATTCTTCAAAGAAATAAAAATTATTTAATGTACTAGCACCATGATTCCAAAAAAAGAAAGTCGACTTAAATTTTAGCAGCTGGCTGACAGCAAAAAAAAATTAGACCAAACATAAGTACTAAAGTTTCTTGTTTTTTATGTATATTTTTTATATAAAAAAATTAACTAAAATGTAAAAATTAAAAACTTATTATGTTAGATTAGATAATATAATGAAAAGTAATGATAATAAGACTTTCACAAGGAATGCTCATGAGTAGCCCATGTGTTAATCATTCACTATGTTAACTTGAGCTACATGTTCACTGAGTGATTTACATCTTGTATTGCAAGGTTATTAATTAAATGCTGTTCAAAGGGCAATTAAAGCTGACTATAGATTTAACACCTAATCCAACTTATATTTTAGTCTTCTTAGTGCAGCCCAATGGTTAGCATGCTAGACAATGGAGTTTAGGTCTTATGGAAAAGAAAAAGTAATTATCTGCACTTTAGAGTTATGGGTTTATAACTGTTAAATCCCATTATTTGGTCTGACAAGAGCTAGAGCTGGGTGTTGTAGACTAGCTGCCTTCCCTTTAGTCTATCACTTCAAAATTAGGAATGGCTGGTGCATATATCCATCGTGTAGCTTTGCATGAAATCAAACACAAATCTTTCACTACCTGTATTACACAGCATCACTTAAGGTTCACCACTGCACTTGTAACTTCAAACTTTAATTCAAAAGTATAATTCTAATTGTGCCAGAAATTAGTGTAGAAATGATATTATAACATTGTGCAATGGATATCTAGCCCATTCTCTCATAATAAAAGAAAAAAGTTAATGGGCTTACATTTGTTACTGCCAATAGACTATGTAAAAATACAGATAATTTAAATTTCAATCTCCTAGAGTCGGTGTAAGCTAACTATGAATTTACTGGTGGAGCTCATATTTATAGGTACCCCTCTTACTAAAATCTTGAAAAATGAATTTATATCAGCTTTGAAAATAGATATGCATACCATGTTAAAACTATTTGTAGAGGAGAGGAACTTAGCTTCAAAATTATGTAAACAACTTGCCATTTATTCCTTATAGCTGTTCTCCTTTTACCCATTTTGAAAGAGTATGATAATGCCATATTTGAAAGTTGAATACTGAGTGCTGGGAAATAGCTCTCAACAAATAAGAGACCATGGAATATTTTTTATACTTTCTGTTGGTGTTTTCTTTTTGCTAGTACTGGATTTGTACTATATGTTATGTACATTTGTAAAGCAACATAAATAGTTGTCTTTAGCATGCCATCATTTAAAGATACTTATGTTAGTAAGTACAGTAGAATAATGCATTGCATAATGGAGTGACCATAATAATTATTGTTCATGTGATATTTATGTAATTTTATTGGTTGTTACTGTTTCAAGGTCAAAGGTGAATAACAAAAATAACGAAGGGAAATGTGTTACTATCAAAGAACTTAACACATATTGGATATGTAGAATGAAACTATATAAAGTAATAACAAGAAAAACAAAAAACTGTTAGATACATTTATTAGTTTTTAAGCAAATATCACAATGAAAAATAGGAGATCTGAAATAAAAGGAAGTATTTTAATCTTCAACTATTTTACAACAAAATTTTGGAAACTTAAAAGTTGAAACGTATAAAACCACTAAATCAAATTATGATTTTTTTTCATAAAAAGAACCTGATATTATCTAGAAAGTTTGTACCAAGTTTCAAGTATGTTGATTTCATAATTTTAATTTCTGAATGCAAAATACTGAGTGCATTGAATCAAAACAGTACAGGTTTAGAAATATTAGAATATGTTATTTTCCCTGTTTTACTAATTGCTATTTAAATTTTTGGGCTACTTTTGAACTTTTATCTAATTGTTATTTCCTTAGTTGTCTGACAAAGACAAAAGTCTGTTGGAAGAGCGAATAAAGAGATCGGCTCGAACTAGGAACAATGCTCCAAGTAGGGAAGCTCCACAACAGGAAGTGGCTGCTTCTCCTCAAATTACTAGACAGGTACAACCACCTCACACCCAGGCTGCAGCTACAACAGACACAGTAGATGTCATCAGAAGGTGGGACATGCAGAGTTTGAACTAATTATTGACATTTGTTGAATTGCCAGTGATATAAGGGAAATTTTAGGATGCCACTTTTTGATTCATAAATTTGTATGTGAAATTGGGATCAAACTATTTTAATGAACTTTTCTGCAATTGAAATGCATAAAATTAACTTACCATGTAGATATTGTATATATTTTAATAAAACATTATCGATGTGATAAAAAAACCAAATTTGTGTTGAAAGTATAGAATTTGCAAGCAGTCATGCACTGAAAACAAAACAAAAACTCTTAATAGTTTTTATTTTATATTTTTGCCAAACAAAGGACAGTTTCTTACTTCAGACTGGTATGATTGCAGTTACTTTAAACTGTACCTAGTTAAACTTATCTTTGTTTTTGATTGAAATCAAATATCTTTATTCTTCAGCTGTATCTTTATACGGAATGTGCATTATATAAATAAGATCTGTAATTTTTTGTCATATACTTGCATACACAGTGCACAGATAAGAATAACATACTGAATTAATATTTTTCACTTTGGAAAAAACATTTATCTTTAACTTGGCACACAAAACCCCCTAAAATATGTTTAATAACATTACTTAGAATAATTGTATTTGGAAGTTTATATATATAACAGCTTTGTTTATTCCTGCTTAGTTTATCTATGTTAATGATATATGAATATCCAGTGCAAACAAAGAAACTCCTATGAAAAGACACACAACTTGGTACCTGAAGCCTTCAAGATTTTTTTAAACATTAAAAAAAACTACTTAAAGTAATTGTACTTAAAATCTCTGTTATTATAAATTATAAGAACTTTTTATTTATTTATGCTTTTAGCTCATCTAGATGTAATTGTATATGATTATTCAGAGCAAATAGAAAACCACCTATGACAAGGCCCAAATCTACAGGACCACTGACTTTGGATTATGATGAAATTGAACAAATGTTCAAGTCACCAGAACCAGAGAACAAAGCCCCTGGACCAGTTAATGTAATGCTGATAGAAATTACTTAAATTTGCCAGAC